TCTACTAAAAATACAAAAAAAAAAAAAAAATATGCCGGGCGTGGTAGCGGGCACCTGTAGTCCCAGCTACTCGGGAGGCTGAGGCAGGAGAATGGCGTGAACCCAGAGGCGGAGCTTGCAGTGAGCCAAGATCGCACCACCGCACTCCAGCCTGGGCGACAGAGTGAGACTCTGCCTCAAAAAAAAAAAAAGTATGTTTATATAGAATATGTAACAATATTTTTTTTAAAGGGCCGGGTACAGTAGGTCATGCCTGTAATCCCAACACTTCAGGACGTCGAGATGGGAGGGCTGCTTGAGCCCAGAAGTTTTAGACCAGCCTGGGCAATGTAGTGAGACCCCGTCTTTAAAAACAAAAAAAAAGTTAGCCAGGTATAGTGGCATGCACCTGTGGTCCCAGCTACTTGGAGAACTGAAGTGGGAGGATTGTTTGGGCCCAGGAAGTTGAGGCTACAGTGAGCCATAATCGTGCCACTGCACTCCAGCCTGGGCAACAGAGCAAGACTCTTGTCTCCAAAATGTGTGTGTGTGTGTGTGTGTGTTGCTTATTATTTACATAAGGTGCCAAAATGTGTGTATGTGTATTGCTTAAAATGTGTGTGTGTGTATATTGCTTATTATTTATATAAGGTGAAAAGACCAGGCTATATAAAACTATATAATTACATAACTATTAAAAACAATTTACATACAAAGACTGAAGGAAATACAATTTAAAAACGGTAGATTTTGGCCTTTGTATTGTTCTTTCTAACTTTCGGTATTTTCCAATCTTTCTTTAAAAGAAATATTAGGCCAGGCATGGTGGCTTATGCCCATAATCCTAGCATTTTGGGAGGCCAAGGTGGGCATATCACCTGAGGTCAGGAGTTCGAGACCAGCCTGGCCAACATGGTGAAATCCCATCTCTACTAAAAATACAAAAATTAACTGGGTGTGGTGGTGCACGCCTGTAGTCCCAGCTGCTCGGGAGGCTGAGGCAGGAGAATCCCTTGAACCAGGAAGGCAGAGGTTGCAGTGAGCTGAGATCACACCACTGCACTCCAGCCTGGCAACAAAGCAAGACTCCATCTCAAATATAAATAAATAAATAAAAGAAATATTAAAAGACTTCTTTTAGGACAGGTGAAGTGGCTCATGCCTGTAATCCCAGTACTTTGGGAGGCCAAGGCAGGAGGACTGCCTGAGGCCAGGAGTTTGAGGCTGCAGTGGGCCATGATTGTGCCTTTGCACTCTAGCCAGGGTAACAGAGCAAGACCCTGTCTCTAAAAAAACCAAAAAGAAAATTTTTAAAGACTTCCTTTAATATATTTTTTCTGATTACCAATCATAAATGTTCATTTCAGAAAATCTGAAACATCAAAAACAAAAGAAACCATAAGTCACCCATAATACTATTACCCAGAAATCTGATATATATTCTTTCAGTTTTTTCCTGTGTACATATTATACATATTTTTTGACAGTGAAATACCATAATACTGTAACCTTTCTTAATAGCTTGTAAACATTTTTCTATACCGAAACATATTTGTCACTTCTAACTACATAGCATTCCATTTTAAATATACTATGACTTTCTCAAGTGATGCCCTAATTTTGGTATTTATAATACTTTTAATTGTTTGTTACTACACATAACCATAACACAGTGTTTAAAGAGTAAGCTACAAAGCCAAACCCCCAAGGTCCATATCCAATATCTGACATTTATCAGCTTTACAACCTTAGAAAGTTACTGATTTAGCTTACGCTTCAGCAAATGGTTCAAATGTTTAAAGCTACTGAACACATAGCAAGTCTTAATATGTTACTCATGTTACCACTGAGCCCAGGCATCACTCTTCCATTACTATTGGTGTGACAAAAATTAAAGACTGGTTATAATTAGCTGCACAATTTTTAAAAAGAAAAAGAAAGAAAAAGGAAAATTTAATACCAGAAAGTAAATAAAATAGTGCCCATTCTTCAAGGCCCCTCTAAGGCAACCTCCTTTCTGAAGCTTTTCTCAATGTTTACCAATAAATGTATTATTTCCACACACAGAAAAACATAGCACCAAATTTATTCCTTTCTAACAAAACTAGGCATATTCTATCATATATTCGTGTGTATAATAATTATTTCTATCAGAACATAACCAACTTAGAAAGAAGGACTGTGACTTACTCATCTTTGCATCCTACTTGCAATCAGCACAATGCCATAACACTAATTAGGAATTTAATAAATACTTTTGGAGCTCAATGGACTCTGCATTCCAAACCAAGCAACATATCAATAACTTAGAAGACAGCTATTCTAGAGCTCAGCATTCTCTAAATTCAGAAAAGCAGCCTATCAAAATGTTTTTGGGAAAACAGAAACAAAGCTTAATGAAAGCAGCAAACAGTTTTCTCAGGCACAGTAAAATCTCCCGGCTTAGCTACAGTCCTTTACCTTACAGAAATTTTGGTTTAAAAAAAGAACTGCTTATGGAAAACTTGGATAAAAACATAAATTCTTCATAAAGAAAAATTCAGGGACTAAGGAGACTTATATGACAGTAGTGTAGTAAGTAATCAAGTTGAAGTGAGACGGTCAGAAATAGCCAAGTGAGTTCAGCAACTAAATAAATTCAGCAACTAAAGTTGGTTTATAGGAGAGACATTCATAACACACTACACTCAAACTCACCCTGGTCGCCGCTTAACAGCCCTCTGGACAATGGCTCCTCCACCTTGAATTCCAGGTCCAGGGTTTCCAGAGGCAATGGCTGGACCCAGTGATGGTACATCTGATGTCATTTCTGTCAGGAAAATAATGAAGTAAACATTTTTAAAAAGATGGTCCTTGCGTATCAGCAGTATCAAGTTAGCTAAAAGAAATGTTCAAGCTATAGACAAAATCTCAGCAGTTTGCTAAAAATCCCAAATGCTCATATCCAGATTGCTCTTCTTGATTTTTTTTTTTTTTTTTTTTTTTTGAGACCAGGTCTCACTCTGTTGCCTGGGCTAGAGCGCACTGGTATAATCATAGCTCACTATAGCCTCAAACTCCTGGGCTCAAGCAATCCTCCCACCTCAGCTTCCGGAGTAGCTAAGACTACAGGCCCGCACTACCACACCCAGCTAAATTTTTTTTTTTTTTTTTCTTAGAGATGGGGTCTGGATATGTTGCCCAGGCTGGTCTTGAACACCTAGCTCCAAGTGATCGTCCTACCTTGGCCTCCCAAAGCGCTGGGATTATAGGCATGAGCCACTACACATGGTCTCTTCTTGAATTCTTACACTGGTACAAGATATCCCCATACTTCAGTTCTCCCCACATCACAAAGTTTGGAAGAAGTACTATATTCTGTAACCTTCATGTTAAAAAGCTTGTACATAGTTAACAATATACTAATATTGTATACACTTAATAATACACTAATTTAAAAAACATATATAAATGGGTTTATACATTTCATTCATGCAACAAATATTTATAATTTATTTTATTTATCGTGATTGGAAAATACAGAAAAACCCAAAAGGAAAAATCACCTAAATTCCAATACTGAAAAGAAAATTATGTAAAGTAAAACTGCAAGTCCCTCATTATTGTCTCCCTTTCCTGCCTCCCTGTACCTTTCCTCTCTCCTTCCAATTCAATCTCATCCCCCAGCAGTAACCATTACTAACAGCTGAGTACTTTTTTTTTTTTTTTTTTTTTTAAAGACAGGGTCTCACTTTGTCCAGCCCAGGCTGGGGTACAGTGGCATGATCACAGCTCACTGCAGCCTCAGCCTCCGGGGCTCAAGTGAGTTGTAGGAGCTCTTTATATATTTTGTTTTATTTTTTGTTTATTTATTTTTTTGAGGCAGAGTCTTTCTCTGTCGCTCAGGCTGGAGTGCAGTGGTATGATCTTGGCTCACTGCAACCTCCACCTCCTGGGTTCAATTCATTCTCCCTGCCTCAGCTTTCCGAGTAGCTGGGATTACAGGCGCCCACCAGCATGCCCGGCTAATTTTTGTATTTTTAGTAGAGATGGGATTTCACCATGTTGGCTAGGCTGGTCTCGAACTCCTGACTTCAGGTGATAAGCCCATCTTGGCCTCCCAAAGTGCTGGGATTACAGGTGTAAGCCACTGTGTCTGGCTGCTCTTTATATACTTTGGATACTCTGTGTTGTTTATATGATTCGAAATTTTTTTTTCTGCTGGGCATGGTGGCTCACGTCTGTAATCCTAGCATTTTGGGAGGCTGAGGTGAGCGGATCACTTGAGATCAGGAGTTAAAGATCAGCCTGGCCAACATGGGGAAACCCCATCTCTAATAAAAATACAAAAATTAGCTGGGCGTGGTGGTGCATGCCTGTAATCCCAGCTACT